GCTCCTCCCACCCCAGGCGCCCGCCGTACTAAGCCGACCGCGCGCGCACCGCGGCCCTTTTATACCCCCGCAAACCACGCCCCCCGCGGCCCCACAGCGTCGTACTCCGACCCGTGACGTCAGCGCGCACGTTCCTTGGCGTTCGACGGGCTCGCCTTCTCCGCCAACTGCTTGTAGAAACTAGAGAAACTAGGGAGAGCGCTGCTTGGGGTGCAGGCCATTGAGGCGCGCGGAGGTCGGGGAGAGGGACCCCGGAGAATGGAGGGGCTGAGAAAGGCGGTCGATAGGAAGGGGAAGCGGAAGGCAACGCGTTCGCTGATTGGACCGTTTGAATAAGACGCCGCCACGGCCCGGCCGCGCGCGCACGCGCGCGCGTGCCCCGACCCCAAAGCAGTCGTGCACGCGACTAACGGTTGGTTTGGGGGAGGCGGGACTCGGGGTTTTAAGTAGATGATGGAAGGGGCTCCGGCCAATAGGAGCAGGCAGCCCTGATAAAGGCGGTCACGAGACTCGCGCGGGGCAATCACTGCCGGAAAAGGGACGCCCGGAGGAGCTGCCGCAATAGAGAGCGACCAATGGCCCTCCGCAGTGTGCCGGCCGAGCCGCTTCAGCCAACGACGTTCTGGCTGTTCGCGAAGCGGCTGAGGCGTGCGCCGTCGCCCGCGCCCCCTCCGCCGCGGTGGGACTGCGCCCCGGAGTCCCTCTGATTCCCTGCGTGGCGCCATTTTGTTCTGGGATGACCTGTGACGCGGGTCTTGCGTTGCGAGGGTCCGGGACCAGTCACAGTGACCTTGAAGGCCTGGGCCGCCCGGCCTCGAGTGCGACCTCTGACCTGGCTAGGCCTCACGGAAGACGCTGGGCCTCGGTGTTTTTACGTGGCAAGCGGCCACCGGGGCCCCTTGTGCTGCCGGGAAAAGGCGGCGAGCCCAGGCCTTACCCGCATAGCGCTGCCTGTAATGACGGCGCCCTCCGCCGAGCCCCGAGTTTCCCGTCTGGGAAGTGGACAGGGATCTTCTCTAGACCTCAGTGTCATGAAACTGCCATGCCATTGTGTGGAAATGGTGGCCAGATTGAAACACACCAGGTGCGTGTGCGCCCAAGATCCCTGGAGGAGAAGGGGTTGCCGTGTGGCCATATGCCTCCTACCCCGCTGGAAAAGGGGGTTTTCTCACTTTCTGTCTCTGTCTCTCCCTCTCTTTTTCTCACTGGTGAGTGCACGTTCCCTAGGGCGAAAACTTCTCCCAAAAAAAGTGTGGTTAATTTTTTTTTTTTGGAGAGGTTTTCGCTATAGGGCGCATGTGCTCGCCAGACAGAGAGAGACATAGAGAAAGAAAGCGAGAATTC